ATATTGCAAAGTTGCTGGGATATGGGATGCATCTGTATATTGCAAAATACTACATACAGCATGATCTTGCAGGAGTGGCGAGATTCAAGCCCTCAAGGACCTTATCGTCACTCTGCCAGGCTTTGATGAGCAGGCGCATCCGCTTGTTTCAAGTTGGCGTCCCCATGCACTTCATGCGCTCAGGGGGATGACACGGAGGGAGACAGTGACGAGGCAAGTCTTCAAACGGCTTACACACGTGCTGCTAATTATAATGCACAGATCCCTGTGGTACGTAATCATGACAGGGTATGCCCGTGACTGCTGAGCGGGAGGCCTGCCTGCTGCTTTCGATGTTTCAACACATCGATATCAATTGCTGAGTAAACAACGTGGTGCTTGGTAGGAAGAGACGCCCTCGAGTGAGCCATCCGAGGCCTGTTGGACCCAATACCCTATGGATACCTACGGTACAATTCGCCAGGGCACTTCCAGAGCGACATCTGCGGAATCGCTTCCAGCTGCAGCACCGGCCAGTGCCTCGGCTAGGACGACAGTGCTGCAAGGAAACCCTTATGCGATCTTTATAAGTTTATTGAGGATACGGAGAAGGATGCAGAGGCAGCCGACAACTACGACGAGGTAGGGCACGTGCGCTTCAATCCCAATTCTTCGGTTTGTCACGAGCTTCGGGACGGGGTCCGGGCCAGGAAGCTACGAAAGAAGAGTTGGATGAGGCCAGTTGGTCAGTGTGGATGTGCAAGAAATCCCACGTTTACTTTGGGCACAGGTCGAGCGATCTGAGAAGTGCGGACCAGCGCTTCGGGACATCCTGGTGGTTTCTGTCACCCACTGATATAGGAGGGTTGGTCTTTGGGTATTTAGACGGCTGCGATGATAAGGCTTAGGCAGGGCTTATTCTAAATCGTACATTATTTTTGCTTGGAGCCCATAATTACAATACTTTATAATATACACCAATAACATGTGGAGCGTATCCCTACATTCCAACCTCGGATCATTCATATTCATATATATGCAAGTCAGGTATAGCAACTCCAGCACGTTGATAAGTGCATTAGGTATTTAGGGGCTATTTCGATAGGATCCGGGCAGGGCTTCAAATAGATAAATATGTTTAAGTTTTGCTTACGGGCCTACATATATATATATATATATATATATATGTATGTATAACAAGTCTTTTCGATATCGACTCTATAGATAGATAGATAGACTCGATAGATACGATCTACAGCTATAGTAGAAGCCAGAAAGTTGGAACATGGCTTTAGGAGGATTAGTGCTAGGATCCCTTCTACCTTAAAACCTTAAGGGCATGAGGAGAATGATGTTCCGACTTTCTGGCTTCTACTACTATAGGTAGGTAGGTAGCCTATATATTAGGATCCCTTCGATGTAACCAGCCCCACAACCGATCTTTCGAATCCCACATGGCCCACTTGGAGGCCCTTTTGACTTAGTAAGTCTACTTAGTACCCCCTAGAAGCCCCATTATAATCCCCATAACCCACCTTACTAACCCTACTTACTAAGTCAAAAGGGCCTCCAAGCACAGGACTCCAAACCACTGCTGCCGTCGACAGCGGTGATGCCACCCGGCATTGCTGCCCAGTTCCAGGATGCTGATGAGATGGAGGCTCAGGCTTCCCTGCTCCTGGAACAGCAGGGGGTAAAGGCTGCGAGCAAAGAAGAGAAAGCCCAGAAAGCGCTTGCCAAATGAGCTGAGCTTAGTTTGTATTTGGGTAGTGGCACCAAATTACACAGTCTGCTCTTGTTCCAAATTCTCGGCATAGTAAGGCCAAGCGAAAGCAAAAGCAGCGGCAGCTGCTCTCGAGAAAGCGGCAGCGAAAGCAGCAAAAACCCAGAGCAAACGCAAAGTGCCTGCAGCTGCAGCAGCTCCCGAGGCAGGGTCCGAATTGCAAAACCAGCCAAGCCTTGAGAACCCGAAGCATCGAACCCCAAGCCCAGACGTTTCTAGATGTGTAAACGATTTATCATAGACCCATCCAGAAGTCCCGAAGACGTTGTTACAAGCACTTGTCAGGGCGGTGCGACGACGGAGGCAGATGCACTCGACCCAGAGGCTGGTTCAACCAATGCCGTGCAGTCGTTCTCGGTTCTAGAGCGGCCACAGAAACAAAACTTCTAGACAAGTTCATAATATACCCACACCAAAACCTTCAACCCTAACCCCTAAATAAGAAGATATATGTATTAAATACTTCTTGTTGAATAGTTCATGTTTAGGTCTCTTATTCTTATGCTCTTCCGCTGTACATGTCCTATGTATTTTTGCTTTTGTTTCTTCCCCTAAGGGTCCAAAGGACCCAATAATCAGGTACTTGGGTTTAGGATAGTAGTTATGTAGCTTAATATTTAAGAGAGTATATGATTATTATATACTTGGACCCTTAGGGTTCCCGTTCTCTCTTTCTCTCTCTCTCTCTCTCTCTCTCTCTTATTCTCTCCCCGGTCTCACGTGAAAGAGCTGGTCACACGCACAGCTGCTTACAACCGAAATTTTGGGAGGCTCCGCATGCTCCTGAGGAGAACCCTGCCAAGAAGAAGAAGGCCCAGGACCTCTGAACATGCCAAGAAACTTATATTCGAATAATAACCGCAAAATTCCAAATTTCCAGGATGCCACCATCGGCTCCCTAATGGACCGCCTGCAGCCCGCATTCGACGCTGGAATGCCAGCGCCCTCCGTAAAGGAACAGCAGCAGAAGTGCCTCGGGTTCATAGACAGTTCACATGTTTTTGCGGTGGGATTATTGTCGAGGAACTCTGTTCGCTTGTTCTTGTCATAAGGAGCTATACGATTCCGGCGAAGTCGTGCGGTGCGAGCTCTGTCGGGGTGGTTGCCGGGGCGCAGAAGCTGTACTATGTCCCCAAAACTCCGCCCGGAGGGCTTCCTGCTTTGGTTCGCAAACGGCTGGGTTTGAAGGCGCAGGTCAGTTTAAACCATACCTTCGAAATCGAGCTATACAATCTAGATCCCACATGACCAGTTCTGATTGTCTGACCAGGTCTTTCCCAATACGTCAGGGATGAATATCACCTGGGCCAAGTTTGGCATGGCTTTCGGTTGGGAGATCGCTGCGATCTGTTCGGTGCAGAAAGAGGTAGAGCCGGCTATCTCAACTGAAGCCGAGCTTATTCGTCGCTGGAAGGAGGTCTTTCCTAATGCACCGGAGGTGCTTCCCATGATGATGGCTCCTGCTGGGGCTTGAAACTTTTTCGCTCCACGGGCGGGTTTGAGGATGTGCGAAAAACATCCACATGCTATCAAGCTTCATGCGTCTGATCAGCTGTAAAGGGGTGTAGGATTTCCGATGCCGAGCGGGATGCCGGCCCGGGACATATTCTCGTTCTCGAGCTGGCGTGCAAAATCAGGTCTGTGCCGTCAGACTCACGCAGCTCTTCGGCTATCTTGTTTATGTGCTCTCTTGCGTGCAAAGGTGCAAGTGATGAAGGCAGCGGCTCACAGATTCTGGTGTTTTTGATGCATAACTCGTGCAATGTTATATACTTAATCATTTGCAGGACTCAGTATGATCTCATCATCGGGTTTGCAATGCATACTACCGAACTGGACTCTGAAACCCTCGTCCCGGGCTTTTTGCTCGGGCCAAGCACGTTGGCCAATGGACGCCATACACCCTCTTCAGTTAAGCAGCCGGGCTTCTGTGCTTCTTATGATACTGGGTGTCCCTCCTATAGTGTGTCTTGTCTAGCACACAGATTTTGCATACGTGTGATCCATGACAGAAATATCGTTTGCCATACATAGTTGCGAAGCCGAGGCTCCAGATGTGCCACTACGTCGCCACGATCGCAGACACCGGCGCAGAAGGCTGCACCAGGGCCAGGTTCTGAGCAAATCACACGGTTTCTTCAGGACATTTAATAATGAGCATTAGTCGTATAATCACCTGTGGCCTTCGGATTGTGAGGATCTGGTACTCCTGGAAGTTTTTGCTGGAAAAGCCCGTATTTGGACTCAGTTCAGCCGGGTGCCCAAACGAATCATGCGGTGAGCAAATGAAGCAGTTGCTGCAGCGATGACGATCTTAGTAATAAGGTGAGCGTGGACACAAGGCGTCTGCAGCTTACACCACGAAGCAAACTTGCAATCTCGAAGCACGTACTAGAGCATATGTCATAAGTGGATTCGGCCATTGTGGTTGCCCAATTGTTGACCGAGGTCTCGCTACGATATCGAAATGGACAAAGATGCTATGGACATTACCACGACACGTGGGTGGTTGTGTTTGCTGAAGTATGGCCTCCTCTTGAAACAGGGCGGCTTACTGTGGGGTGGGAATCCCTGCTCCAACCAAGTCTTTATGAGCTCCTCAGCACACGGTCGCTCCGCGGAGTGTCCGCTGGGCAACCAATGGTTGCCAAGTGCCTCTTCTGTGCCTAGCGAATTCATAATCAAAGAGCAACCGAAGCAAAATATAGATCTCATCTGATCAATATTCAACGTTCTAGATTGTCGCTCAGGTGTTCGGCGATCCAATGTCGTGAACACGCGCTTCGCGATCCTACTTTTCATTGCGACGGTAAGAGGGGCATGGAGTTGTGTGGAACAACCTTTATCGAGTGCACACAAGCATTTTCCATATTTCTTCTTCTTACAGCAAGTCCTGAGCATCTGCGGGAAGCTTCCTAGATGGCTATCCACCTCTTTGACCCCTGCCTGCAATATTGAGATAATTTCCTGATGCCTGGCTGTTTTTTGCCACCTTGCTGCCACACGGACATCTCAGTTGGATGGGGCTCTACGGTCACAGCAATCCTAAACCATCTCTGGCCTTCGGAACATGGCCAGGCTCTCAGCCAACGACCCCAGTACTTTGCATGAGTTATATACAACTATATCATATAGGGTTTTTGCTTCAGGAAGCCCATTCCCAAGCTGAAGAACAAGCTTTCTGCAGCCCAGCGTGACCGGTTCAAAGACACAGCGAAAACAGTGGTGAAGCGAGTCAGAAGGACTGACGGCTCTACTGCTGTGCTTGGTGCTCAGCAATCCGGTGTTGGGAGTTAACAAGTTTCAAGTTTGACATCCCTTGATAAATTGCAGAGTGTCAAGAAATTTATGAACTGAGGACTGGTATCAATCCTGCACTGCGATCTACGCAAGAATACCCTGCTGGCTTTGCAGAAGCGGTTGCAACTCTTCACTTGGAGAAGCTACACGAGGAGGCACACACATTTCTGTCCAGGGCGAGGGCAGGTGGAAGGGGGAGCCGGGAGAGGACCCAATGACCCATACATAAATACCAATGTGCATCCCACTCAACCCAAAAGCCATAGGGCGATAAGCTTTATACACATGTATGCGACGACCTGATCTTGAAATTTGAGATCAAGCTCAGCCTGGTGGGGCATCCAAAACGAGCATGCTGAGGCATTATCTGGCATGTGCGGCACCGCAATCTGTGAAGAAATTGCGAAAGCGACTAGTTTTGAATCTTGCGCATGTATAGATTTCGTCGCGATCATCGGGACCTTTGTAAGTGTGCGAGCTATATATGCATGCCCCTAGTGGCGGAGAACCCGGTAGCTTCGAAGCTTAGGGTCGCGATTTAGTTCGGCGATTGTGTTCTTGGAACCTTGGCATCGGGACTTAAGTGTTTTTCAGCCCTTGCTTTTGAAGCCACTTGTTGCTAAGTGTTTTTGTTCAGCCCTTGCTGTTGCAACCGCCTTCTTGCTGTTATCGTTCGAGGACCAGTGTTGTTTAGCCCTTGCTTAAGCACCCATTTTCTTGCTGTGATTTCTCGTCATGAAGCAGTATGGGGCGAAATCAAGCCCGTGCTTAAGCACCCACTTTCCTGCTGTGATTTCTCGTTTGGAGCGAAATCAAGCCCTTGCTTAAGCACCCGCTTTCTTGCTGTGATTTCTCGTCGTGAAGTGGTTTGGAGCGAAATCAAATCGATCATTATGAGCATCAGCCCGTTTGTGCGGCCTGGGAAAATGGCGGCGGTCAAAGGGAAACTTATTCCCGGTTTGCTTTTGCAACTGGTGTCTTACTGTTCTCTTTCGACGAGCAGCGTTTTCTAGTAGTTGTAGTAGTCGTCGTAGTCGTCGTCGTCGTAGTCGTGCTAGAACTAGCGAGCTAGCACTAGTACTATTACTAGTGCTACGGTTGATGATATAAATCCTGCATTACCTTAAGGACCCTAAACTATGGGAATTATGGTATATTCCTTATTATGGGTCATGCAGGATTTATATCATCAACCGTAGTACTATGATGCTCGCTCCCAGTGGGCCTGTTTGGTTATGTTCAAAAGATTTGGGCCGATTTGGGGAGCCTATGTAATTATTCGTATACGTAGAGGGGATAGCACCCATGCACCCAAACCCAATTTGTCTAGATGAAAGCAAACAATATGCAGGCAGCTGATGGCTTCCGCTTGGACGTGGATGCGGTATCCGCTGCCGTAAAGGATGTAGACCCTTGGAAGCAAACCATAAGCCCTTAAGCACAAACCCTAAACCCTAGACCCCAATGCAATCCGAGGAGTCGCCAGGATCGTGGGCCGAGGCTGAGCTGGGCGATGTGCGCATTTTCCTGATTTTGGAAGCTCACAGGGGTTCTTGGACTCCGTTGAAGGACGTGCCTTTGTAGGGTAGAGGGGTTTGAAGCTTAATCAACTAGAACTTGCAATCCGACGAGAGTAGGCATTACTTACTTGGAGGGGCAGGGGACTTAGTAAGTCGTTTATTATATATATATAAGGTAACTCCATTTAGGGTACATTTAACTCTACTTATAACCTACTTACTAAGTCCCCTGCCACTCCAAGTAGCTTTGACTATATATAGCTTCCGTTGAAGGACGTGCCTTTGTAGGGTAGGGGGGTTTGAAGCTTAATCAACTAGAACTTGCGATCCGACGAGAGTAGGCATTACTTACTTGGAGGGGCAAGGGACTTAGTAAGTCGTTTATTATATATATATATAGGGTAACTCCATGTAGGGTACCTTTAACTCTACTTATAACCTACTTACTAAGTCCCCTGCCACTCCAAGTAGCTTTGACTATATATAGCGCTTTATCATACCATGAGGCATCAGGTCTTTGCCTTGGCGGGTTGCTTACTACATGCCGTCAGATGTGTATATTGTATATATGCTGCAAGTATAAATCGGGCCTTACTTATAAATATCGGTGTATTACAAATATGATTCAGGATACATCCCAAAGTAGATACAGAGAATTCATGGATGGCAGCTAGCATGCATAGTCGTCCTACCATAAGCATCTCCGGAAGCTTTTGTGGCCGGGGTTGGGGTTATGTGGCTTGGAAGAAATTCGATGGAAAGGTTGCGGCTTGCTTATTAAGCCATTAGCTATCCGGTTTAGATACTGATCCAGGTAGCCCCGCTCTCCCCTTCCCGACTTGGAGAGTATAATGCATATGCCCTGAATTCCGAATACTCAAGGCACACCACACCTCCAATGTTTGTGTAATGCTCCAAACCTTAGCTGCAACATCTTTATTGGCACGGTCGCTTCTGCTTAGAGATCCTTCGGTACTGTTGGCACTGTTGCTTCTGTTTGGAGAGGCCTTGCCGCCCCTATCTATATAGATGTCTGACTATATAGTATACGTACACAGCAGCAATCCCAACAAGTGTTTACGTCAGGTGTTGCAACGATACCTTTTAGTACCACCCGCTCTTTGGGCGCACAAATTCGACAATGCTGTGCTGAGCTCCTCATCACACAGCGGCCACTCGCATCACTGTCTGCTTACGCTCTTATTATAGGAATGTGGTTGTCCCAACAATTATAAACTAGTTTTATAAATACCATATAACCTACACCCTAAAACTTGCACTCTAAACCTACACCCTGTATAAAGCAGCGAAGCTCCAAGCTTTAAGCCCTAAACCCTAGTCTCCTTAGCCTCCATAAACAATCGGTTCGCTCCGTCCCGGGTGCTGTTATATCTGTTTACCGACCCTGTCATCCATAAGCTCCTTAAACCACACACACATCGACCTGATTGAAGTCTTTATGTTGGCTCATAAATTGCAGCCGTGGTGATTGGAGCTGGTCGCAGCAAGTGCAGCGGGATACATAGCGCCCAGACGGCATCCTGGTCCGTGCAGCTGCAATATGTGATCCCACATTTGGACTACAAAGTGCCATGTGACAGTGGGTGTTCTATAGCTGGGTTGGGGTTGGGTACCTATAGCGCGTGAGTTCGCGTGAGTTTGCGTGAGTTTGCGTGAGTTTCAACATGAAAGGACGCTTCAGAGAAGTCCTCGCGTGAGTTTGCGTGAGTTTGCGTGAATTTGGTATGATCTAGCAGCAGCTGTACGATATAGCGTGCACAACCGTTGCTCGCGCTTGTGATCCGGATCTGTCCGAGCTCTTTCTGATGCAATGGGGTAAAGAATATTGTCTTCTGGCTGTGATGAGCCGATGTCTTCTACGATCGTGCAGCGAGACGAGTCAGCATGACAGCTTTGGTTATTGTCAACAACAAGAAATGTAAATACAGTGCTAGATGTGTGAAGCGAATTTGTGTACGTAACAGCAGGCACTCTTTGATCAAAGGCCCTGGGCTTTATCGCCTCGGTTCGGCGACCATGCCGAAACGTGTGAAGGAACCTGCGAAGATTCCAAAAGACGTTCAAGATATGGTGAAGAATGCCATGTCGATGTATGGTGGAGTAGCCCCTGCCGCAAAGGCCTCCCGACCTTTGGCGACCCCATCACGATCACATGGGGTCCCTCCCCAGGTGCTTCCAGAAGCGGAGCCTGCGACCCCAGCCCTGGCTAAGGCGGCTCCTGCAACCCCTATATCGACACCCCTGAAGGAGCCCTTAAACAAGCGGTACAGATCGATTGCTTCCCTCCCGAGCACCGACAGCTTGCCCCGTTTGCCTAGCTTCGGTGCAACATCCTCAGAGAAGCCTTCGGCCCCACGGCACACGGACACGCAGTCTACGATCAACACAGAAGTTCTGGATGGCATTGCCAATCTACACATCTCAGGAGGCCCAAGCTCGCTGAAGTATCGGCTATGTTATTAATTTCATGATAACCCTAGGATCTAAATAACCTCTAAACTGAAAGCACTGCAGGAGGTTCATCCGAGAGTCTACAACCTCATGATGATGTGGCCAATAGTGCAGCTGCGGCCGCCGGAGCTGTGCCTTGCAATGCATTTCCCGGTTTAGGGGTTTAGGGGTTTAGGGGTTTAGGGGTTTAGGGGTTAGGGGTTTAGGGGTTTAGGGGTTTAGGGGTTTAGGGGTTTAGGGTTTTAGGGGTTTAGGGGTTTAGGGGTTTAGGGTTTAGGGTTTAGGGTTCCATGAGGTTTTGCAGGGTGTGTGTGTGTGTGTGTTCTAGCTTGATCCAGGACTTTGCTCGGAGGGGTTGCTTCTGCAAGGTTTGAGGGCTTGGGGAGTTTCGGGTTAGAGGGTTTTTGTGTGTGGAATCAGAGCTTGAGGATTTCACTGTTATCGTTCTCCAACTGGACATTCACAATCATTGAGTCCGGGTGCGGGGTTAACCATCGATTGTCAGGGCTTCGAAATCAGGGGCCCCATCACGAGAATCCCACTTGAACCTCCGTTTATAATTCGAGTTGTAAACACTCTATATATAGTTATATTATATACATATATATATATAGCGATCAAGACAGCGCAAACCCTAAACCCCCTCACAAACAAAAACCCAAACTACCCGCAAAACCCAAGCGCCACATACCCTAAACAATAAATCCCCTCCTAACCTAAACCTAAACCCTGTACCCTCAAGCACCAGACGCCCTACATAAACCGTAAACCCTTCGATTCTAATCTCATACAGATTATATACTGTCGATGACGACACCGAGGAGCCTCAGAGCGTCCAGTGCTGTATGTGCTGGGAGCTATTCAAGGCGAGTGACATTGTGGAGAAGGAGAGTGTGCAGTTGCTTATATTATATTAGGTATAAATATCTGTTTCCCTATATTGAGATCTGGAAAAATAAGTTGTCATACATATATATATATATATATGTACACTGTATCATTCGAGTTATAATGTATGTATATATTTATTATATACATGCATGTATATATATATATATATGTAACTTGTTTCCTTGTGATTGTACCATGTGGGTTCAGGACGGTATGATGTTCTGTGGTGCCGCATGCATGGATGCGGCTGAGCCTACGCAGATTGGGTCTGATAGAGCTCGAGCTGGTCTTCTCATTTCGGATGGGGGCTCCCTTGAAACTTTGCCTGAGTCGCTGCCTGGTGACAACCAGAGTGCTATGGATGATGAACACGAGTGTGCGGATGATGATGATGAAATCCTAAAGGAGCTGGAGAGTCAGGTTTTTGGCGAGGGTGATGATGCTGATGCGGGGGGTGCCCCACCAACCCCGCCTCCAGCCAACCCACCTCCGGATACCACGCCACCCCCAGCACCGGCACCGACTCCGTCGACGACCGCAACAGCCGGCGACACCCGAGTCCAAGAGCTCGAAGCGCAACTTGGTGCTGTGCAACAGATGCTGCAGATGCTGCTAGCACAAAACGGCAGCACAAGTGCCAGTTTGAATCCAGAAACCGTCCACACTTTGCTGAGACGACCAGCGACAACGGACATTGAAACACACACGGCCCGACCAAAGGCTTCCGTAGCACCCAGCTCAAAGACATTCGGCTTGCTGACCAAGGAAGGAATGGCACAGCTTTTCGGTGAGACATCGCCAGCAACAGCTCCGAATGCCACGTCAGTTCCGGCCAACCCAATTGCAACAGCTCCGACGGCAGCACCCGCTGCAACAACAGTTGGGGATACCCCAACAGGTCCCAAGGCAGCACCCAAAGCTCCCCCAATTTTGGGTGTCAGATCAGTTCCGCCAGCATCCAGGGTAACCTTTGCGCAGCCAAAAGCAGTGCCCGACGCCCCTGCAGCAACAGTTCCGGATGCATCAGCGCCGAACGCAACACCCTTGGCCCCTGCAGCAACAGTTCCGGATTCATCAGCGCCGAATCCGAAAGCTACACCCGTCACCCCTGCAGCAACAGTTCCGGATGCATCACCGCCGACTCCGAAGGCAACACCCCTGACCCGTGCAGCAACAGTTCCGGATTCATCAGCGCCGAATCCGAAAGCAACACCCGTGGCCCCTGCATCAACAGCTCCGGATGCATCAACGCCGAATCCGAAAGCAACACCCGTGGCCCCTGCATCACCAGTTCCTGGTTCATCAGCGCCGAATCCGAAAGCAACACCCGTGGCCCCTGCATCAACAGTGCCGGATGCATCAACGCCGAATCCGAAAGCAACACCCGTGGCCCCTGCACCACCAGTGCCGGGTTCATCAGCGCCGAATCCGAAAGCAACACCCGTGGCCCCTGCAGCACCAGTTCCGGGTTCATCAGCGCCGAATCCGAAAGCAACACCCGTGGCCCCTGCAGCGGCAGCTCCGAATGCAGAGGAGGAAGAAGAGGAGGAGACGCCAGAGGAAAGGGCAGCACGAGAGGAGAAAGAGCGCTTGAAGAGGGAAGCGCATGCAGACTGGATGCGATACAACCGAAGCTTGCGCAACTTGTCCTGAGCCAATGAATGTACTAAGATACTATCCCAGCAGGCCAACCCACCCAGCCCAACCCAACCCAACCCAACACATCTCTCTAACTCTCTAGCTTTCTCGATCTCTTTAAAGGTTTGTATAATAACATGTAATCATAAACTTATTTATATTTATATATACATATCTATATATTCACTTTTTATGTTAATTCTTCTTAAAACTAAACCTTCTTCTTAAACCATTATAAAAAGAGAAAATATATATGTATCTAAATATATGTCTTACTATATATTACCTACAAGTACCCAGGTCATCCAGACGTGCCTCCCGAAGTGTGGTGCAAGGCATTCCACCCGGATGGTCGGCCTCGTCAGGCGCTTACACTATACGTACTTTCTAGGCACAAGTCGACATTCAATACGTATTGGCATGAGACGAGAACTTGCAAAAACTTAGGCCAACGACATGTCTTGCGCCATCTCTTTGAAGTTTTCGTGTCAGCCGGAGAAAATTGGCTGGAGTCGAGCATCGTGCTTAATGCTCGTCGAAAGAATGCAAATCGGCGAAGGGGCAAGTTCATTTGGATCACTTTCGAAGATCTGGTCAAAAAGTCCCTTGCCTTGAATCCCGGACCTCATGCTATGTAGACGTCATGATGATTTCATCCAATAAACGTCATTACACGATGCGGTTGTACTGAGGCACGGCGAATCGACGGCCCTTCAGATCAAGACCTCTAAAAAGGAGTTGGATCCGAATTGCACTGGCAAGCATTGGATGCTGCACCCCGATGTTCCAGACAAAGAAGACCCTCGACCATTTTAGCTATACGTAAATATATATATATATATATATATACACACCAGAATAACTAACATTACATAATACTATAGTCTATTATTAGACCATAGTGACTAGCCGGCCCTACAAAACCAGCTGCATAATGTTCCAAACTCTAGCACAGGAGTGGCAGCTGCTTCGAGTATTTGATGGTAAGATCGAGACAGAAGAGGAAGACTCAGAGACTGAGCACATCTTCGAGATGGGTGGCAATATCTCGGGGAAGGGAGCTGGCAAGGTTGGGTGCTTCGCTTCATTATGTGCTTGCAAACCTTGTCACTTCGAAATCACAATGCACCTCTGCATGTATCTAGGCAATCTACCCCAGGCATGCCTAACTAAGGGCTGCGCTCTTGGGCGTTACTGCACCGACGCCTGGAGCAAACAACACGACAACGACACCTGAGCCCTCGAATCCGAAAGGAAAGGGCAAGGGCAAGAACGGCAATCCGAAGGCAAAGGCTAAACCGCCGCAAAAGGTAGCCCTGGATCTCGTGTCCAAGGGTGCCTTGGCGGTGGTCGACGCGGGCTCGCTCTACGAGCAGTGCATCCAGGGCAATGTGTGCCTCGATTCCAATATACCTTGGATTCGGATGTATATCCTAATTAATATAAGAACCTTAGACACCTAAACCCCAAAAGAACTTTCGGCCGTAGACCCTAAACCCTAAAGAACCGTAGACCCTATTATAGCTCTGGGTTTATGACCTGATTCCTCGGTGGGGCCTTGGGGCTTAAGTTTGCGGTTTGGGGTTTGAGGATTTACGTTTGGGGTTTAGGGTTTTGGGTTTAAAGACTATAATTAGATCTTTATAATACAATGGTTTGGGGATTAAGGACTTTAGGATTGAGGGTGATTGTCGGTCCACGTCAGTGTCATATGTACCCGTGGCCGCCACCCTGATCACCATGATCATGAAGCCGTCGAACCTACCGCAACACTATATGCTTGAAACCTCCCAAAGAGCCGAAACTCCTAAACCCAAGAGCGTCTAGAATAAGCCTTACACGTGGAATTGTTTTGCACATGCCCTTCAGACCCGAGTATCGGGTTTCGGCTGATGCTGGGAAGTCATAGATCAGTATTCGGGTCTAGCATTTCCGGGTAATAATACGGTGCGAATGCCTACATATCTCTTTCCCACAGGATCAGAAGTCCCGAGGACCATGATGGATTGCATTACAATTTTCGTGTTCAGGCTTAAAGCCCAGTGGGGCTTCGATGTATCAACCCCTATAACTTAGAAGCTGCCCCCACCCTGTAATAGTGGTATAATAGGAATATAGGGCCCTAATCTAATTCTATATAATCCTTATGGCCGCTATTACAGGGTGGGGGCAGCTTCTAACCTATAACCTTACATAATTATTCTATGTTTCCCTATATGAATCCGATGCCAAAGCCCGCAGCCACCATCCGCACCGATGGCATAGTTCCTCAGAACCAGCAGCATGTCGGTAGACAGTCAAACCAAGGGAACAGGGAATCATGTTAGGGCTTACATTTGTAAATGTGGTTACTTCTATACGAAGATGTCTATATGCAAGTTCCATTGTATAGGTATGACTCGAAGTCAGGATTGCACTAAATAATTTTTTTAGTATACATATATGTATATATACTAAACCTATGACTCCCGTGTTGGGCATATAGCTTTCTTTTCGATGTTCACCAGAAACCGTTTTGCCCAGGACAGCTAACTTTGCCTCGGCGCTCATCAAGGATGTGGAGCCGTCGATTGCTGCTATGAAGGATGCTGTGAATGCCCTCCAAGCCCATATCGGAAAGGTCACCCCGGACCAGCTGGCAGTCTATAACAACAGTGCAGAGCAGGCCCTGAAAGCCTACGAGGAAGCTGTAGGCACGATCAAACGCACTATTGCTATCAACAAGCCCAAGACGACTAAGCCGTCGAAGAAGCATGCGAAGGCGAAGTCAGCCTCATGAGAGTGCCGACTAGTTTCATGATAAGTTTTGCTAGAGGTGCTGCTGCCCTCATCGTGGGGTCGGAGAGATTGCCGCCGCGACACTGCAAAGCAGTGCGCATGCAAACGTGATCATTAATACGAACCTGGTGCTTTCCACGTGTGCAGTTACAGTTATAGTTATATAGCTTTCATACCGGAGGTGTGCAATCCCGCTACGTGCGGCTGCATAGAGCAGTCTTCAAAGTCCAAATTTGAAGGTCTTAGGATGATCCTGCTGTGGTGTGCTGCTGCGGGCGAAACACACCATGTTGTTTTGCACATGCTTCGACGCTTCGCAATCGAATAACAATTCCTATTGGCTCTTGTCCTCTATTGCGCAGACAGCTCGAGCTTGACATCAAGATTGGTAGCTGCTGTTGGTGGCGGGGCTTCTTGGGCTGCAAATTCCCCCTTGCGATCCGAGTTTCTTCTGAACATCACGTTGAAAATGCTGTGCGCCCAGGAGATCAGCGCCTCGGTTGCTCAAGACATTGCACAATGTGTTCGTGAGGACACGGTGTACACAGGAGTTACATGTTCTGGTCCCTTTGATCCAATGTATAATTATACCAATGGCTTTTTTGCAGGATGTTGGGTCCCGTACGCCGGCTTCGGTCAGCAAGATTGCTAGTGCTGGGAACTTTGGGAGTCAGCAGGGAAATATCCGTCGGGACGTGCATCGAGCCTCACACGCACTGCTCCAGACAGAGGCAGAAACTTCCCAGTAGTAATAATACAAAGTTAGTTTAACGACAGTCTTTAGCAACAGCTATACTACTGTTGATGGACAAAATCCTGCATGACCTTAAGGACCCTAAACTATGGGAACTATGGTATATTCCTTATAACGGGTAATGCAGGATTTTGTCCATCAACAGTAGTAATTGTCAGATAGTTTGGCATCGCGCTTTCCAAATTCTCGCCATCCCGAACAGGCACTGAAGCAGCACTTCATCAAGATCCCTCTGAAGCCGGAACCTTCCGCCCTGAATGAAGAAGCATCGGCAGCTGCTGCCGGTTCCAATGACACGGTTTTGACGGATGTACCCGTACTATGTCCCCATGAAGTCATCATGTACCTTTTGAAAGAGAAGCTTCTGACACTCGACGACTCGGCTGCGAAGCACTTCTGGTCCCACCACCAAACACAAAGCACACCGTGGCTTGGTGACTGCAAACTCGAGAAAGATGGCTACGTAGTACATCCGGTTGCCCTCTACGGTGATGAGTGCGAGTACACTGCGACGAAGGAGAAAGTCCTGATGATATTCTTAAGCTTCCTGGTTTCAAATAGAATTATACAATTAATCATGTGGGGATCAGATACGTAGAGGTGTGCGTCCAAGTATACAATATTGATGACAGCCTTGGGCCCTTTAATTACGTACTACGAGCCACAGACCTAAAAACCAATGCCCTAGATAATCCCAAACCCTAAATCCCAAACCCGAATTAATCACAAAGCCTGAATCCGCACAGAACCCAGCCCGTGCAGAACCCCTCTTTGCCAAATAAACAAGTCTCAGGCCTGCCGCTCTACGATGACCAACTGAAGTCTGTATGGCGCACAAGATTTCCGCTATTCTGCCTGAGAGAAAATCGAATAGCTGGCCCCGAATCCTTGGAGCCAATCTGGCTGTTTATCACATGGTCCCTGAATTGCTGCTACTTGGGCAAGGTTCCCCACAAGGATGTCCACGGCAATGCTTGGCGCAGTCAAGGGCTGCCGCCGGGCCAGGACATTGGGTTCAGGTGCCGACTGTGGGAGATGCGTGGGGACTGGAAATACCATTACCAAGTCTTCGGCTTAAAGTCAACTTGGATGTCGGATTACTGTTGCCATCGCTGCCTGGCTACCAAATCGAAGCCTGTTCATTTGAGCTATGTCGATTTCACTTCCCAACCACGATGGTTGTCAACAGAGCGCAGCCATGAGCAATTCATATCCGAGCAACTTCCTGACGACAGAAGCTGGAACCCGATCCTATTTTGCATTGGATTCAACTTTCGAATGCTGCGGATATGCTCGATGCACACCTGCCAACTTGGAATCGGACTACACTTGAACGGCAGTGCCCTACGCGAATTGTTGGATGCTGGTGCCTTTCCAGGAGCCAGTACTTCGGAGAGATTCACCAAAGCGTTTGGTCATTTCCGGCAGTGGACCAGACAACAAGGCATCAGCTGCTCGCAGAGCTGCTTCAAACCATATATGTTGGTTTCAAAATCCGGAGAGGAGTTCTGCTATTTTCAGACCAAAGACGCTTGGCAGCTGCAACATTTTCGGCAAGACAGCTTGGGGATCGTATAGCTTTACTATTTATAGTCCAATCATCTTACGAGAGATGCCCCTAATCCCTTAAAGTATATAGGGCCGGCTTGAGGCTGGCAACTTCCGGTTTATCACATAGACTGCCCTATCAACCCGAAGCCTATAAATGTATTCTAAAATTACTTTAGTGTAGTATGGGGTTAATTAGAGTACTTTTTTATTGGTCCCTATAAATGTATTCTAAAAATACTTTAGTGTAGTATGGGGTTAGAGTACTTTTTTTATTGGTGCTACCAGGCATACAACGGTCGAGTCGTTACTTCGTGGCTTGCGTCGGTTTGTGCAGAAGTTGCACTTGTGCACAAGACCGAGCGGCTCCAACTGACCGCCCATGCTGTTTGGCATCTGCACGATTTCTACTGCAAGATCGAGTCTGCAGGCCGGTACTTGACTCTGGAGGCCCGCTTCGTGCCTCTAGCTAGTTAGCTAGTTAGCTAGTTACGTTCGTTTTTGGTGAGCCGCCCGTGAACAGGAAGCCACTGCCATACGCGACACGGGGCTACAGCACCTAGTTAGCTACACAAGGCTGGCGCGCATTGCGGTGGCTGAAGGAAGGCACATCGGCCAAAGTCCGCGTGCCATCGGTAGAGTCATGCCTCGCCCCTGGAGGCTGGCGTGGCAGCTTCGCCCCAAGCACCACTGGTACCATCATATACTGATCGACTGTGTTGCCGAATTGGTGAACCCACGAACGTTCCATTGTTTTCGCGGTGAAGCTGCGATGAAGTTCGCGAAGAGCCGCTCTGTCAAACTTCGCACATGTACTCTCGTGTTCGATTCGTTTTATTGGATTTGTGCGCTTCACAAGTATACCTGACCATTTGTGCTAGAGACGTAAGGATTGGCACAAGCGGCACACCGAGCAACACTGGAATCGACCGTGCTGACCGAATGGTACTTGAGGCAAGGGACTGGGATTTAGACGTGAGCTGATTTCCTTAATGCTTGTGCGGCAGGATCGTGGCTCTGAGGCGGCTGGGGACGAAGAGAAAGCACAGCGGCGAGTGCGAAAACACTTCTTTGTGTGCAGCGGCTGGCTTATATAACGCCCCGGCCCAATGTAAGTTTACATCAATCCCGCAAATGCGATGACCTTGATGCAAGGACGCACCAAGAGGTGGAACGGCCAAACCCTCATTATTCAACACCCCGGATGCTCAGGGTAGGGGTACATAGAACCGAACCATGCGCAAATCGCGCTACGGCGGCGCGTGAATCACCGGGTTCTGCAATAAACGAGCTTCCGAGCAAATCTGCGCAGCATCCCAAGGATTCCACGGCAGGGTCACGTTGCCTCTAGTGTCTAGTGATCTATTGCAGAATGCATAGCGGCACGTAGACCGAAGCCCTGTGCAACTCGGAGTACGGAGGCACGTGATTCCCCGGATTCTGCAATAAATGAGCCTCCGAGCAAATCTGAACAGCATCCCGAAGATTCCACGGCAGTGTCGTGTTGCCTTTATAGCGTATTGCAATCGGTTGCAGCTTGCATTTAAGGGCACGTAAACCGAAACCCTGTACAAACCGGGTTGCGGAGGCACGTGAGGCACATCATTACACCTCTGTGTATCCATCTGGACTGCTGCACGAAATGGTGGGACCTTGTCTCGCTCTAATTCCCGTAGCCGCATCGGGAAGCAGGGAAAACCCCGCGCTTTTCTGCAAAAAACTGAATAATTGCCTGCGCTGATGATTCGGCAGAATGTTCGGCAGCGGCTCTTGCGCCATGTAGTTTCATGGAAGTATATCAAACTCGTTATCGCAAAATAAGCACGTTCGCATACCCTTCTGTCGTTGGAGCCTTAAAAATCGAACCTTGTGGCGGAACACCACGCAAAGCTTAATTCGGAAAATCTTGATAGGTTGGTTTGGTACAAACATCCACCGGTACCAACAAGTCCGTCACAAGACATGTTTATTGCAGAATCCTACGTGGAACGTATCATTCGGGGATATTTCAAGCTTCAAGACCCAATCTGCCCCAACCATGGCTAATTGCAGAATAAAAGCGTTTCAATATACGTGCGTGCACCCATTCTGCAATAAGCCAAGGATGGCTGATGACAGAGCCAGCTGGTGGGGGCGGGTGGCTTCATCTATGTGTCGGCTGTACTGCCGAGCAAGCGGGCAACCAAACGGCGCTCCAAAAGAGGAAGTCCCCGACAACCAAGGTCCACGGACGCCTCCGACTGGTTTGGTCTGGTTTGCGAAGTGCAACAAGGCGCCCAAGGCCGAGTGCCGAAGCTATCGAGGTGGGGAGGCGGGCACGTGCTAGCAGCGCAATGCCGCAGAATGCTTCGGAGTCGGCAGTGTCGACGAGCAAGCGTGCAGTGTCGGCTGTAAATTCACTGGGACTGGGTGCTGCGCCTCGGCGTGGGCGACGCAGGTTTATGAGCAAGGCTGGCGCAGGCACTGCGACAGGTGCTTCAGGTAGCCAGCACAAACGATCAGGGTCAAGCGGTGTACATTGCAAGGCCGACGGTCAGGGTCACGCTGCTGGAGGCTCGCTGACGAGAGCGCGTCGAGCGGCTGAGAGCTCGCAAGGCGTGCTGCGTGGAGCGCCCTGGCCGTCTCAACACGTGGCTCAGCTCCAGGCTCGGACGCTGAGGCTTGAGCGAGCGGCGAAGCTACTTCGTCTGTGCAATCCA